GGTGAGGGAGCAGAAGAGCCGGCTGGCTCCTGCTCTGCCTGTGCTGGTGACCGAAGGCAGGACCGTGCAGCGGAGCGAGTCGGAGCCGTGGGCCCTCTCAGTTTGGGTCGTTTTCCGTTCTTTTTTGTTGATGACAAAGAAAGCAACAGGCTCCCACCCAGTCTGAGGTCTTGCACAGTTTGGGTTTGTTTGTTTTCTCTCTCTGCTAAGTCACTTGGAAATGAAAGTGTCTGCCTGGAGCGTGGCAGGGTTTTGCTGTCGGTAGCAGGTGTCGACGGGGGCAGATGGCTCAGGGCACCCGTCGGAAGGGAATCATCGTATGGAGGGATTAACACGCGCAGTAGCAGCGCGAGCCGAAGAGACAGCGATCAGCTGAGCTGTTGGAAAAGTATCTGCCCTGAACAAACTGCTCTGGCATGAGCAAATATTTCTTGGCACATGCCAGCCCCTCAGCTTGATTTTTCTGCTGTGACAAACCATTTTTGGTGTTTTAGCGCTACGGCACTTGACGGCTCTTGGGAGCTTCCAGCTCTTCTACAACAAGAAGAATTTGAAGTGACTGGTGGAGCGCTGCGAGAGGGACTTTAAAAGCACAGCAGAAATGTCGGAGCTGTAACACCTGCCATGCTGCTTTCTTGCCAGGGCAAGAAAGTCCTGGCAATCAGCCCGCCTGGGACTGAAGACTTAACTGTTGCAACCAGCTGGTACCTCAGCACCTGCGCAGCGCTTGCAGCGTGCTTCATAGGTGGGGACCTGTGTCGCAATCCAAGCCTGTTTGCTTGAGAAAAAGATTTTGCAAGGTCTTCTCCTGGAAGGAGAAACAAACCTCCCAAACTGGGTAACATATTCTGTTTCCAAGCTCACTTGAAAGGGCATCATCCGAGCAGAGCAAAATTGAAAAGAAAGGGCACAGGCAAAGAGGAATCAATTAAAACATGAATTCTGCTTTTCCTGCACCAGTACAGCTCCTCCAGCATCTCCACTCCCTCCCCACGCCTCCACTTTTAGCTCAGAGCTGCCAAGCTCATGCTGGGGCATTTCGAAATGGCTTTAGATTTGGTCTCTCTCCTCTTGAGGTCCTGCTAGAAATTGTTTAGCTGACTTCCTTGCAAAGTGCTATTCAGATTTACAATGAGCAAACTATATGCAATTAAATACATTATCGTCAGATCCCCCCAAACCTACCACGTACCATCTTTATCACGTGGTGTAAGAATACGTACACCGAGAGCTCAGTCTTTCCTCCACACTGCGGTGAGTCATTTTTGAAAGGCCACAATTATAAAATTTCCATTCTCCTTCTGCACAGGGAAAGAAGTACAAGCTAAAGCAACCTTAGGCTGCTTGTAGATCGCTCAAACCTGAAAGGCTAATGTTTTGTCTCCTTCTTTTTCTTGTTTTAGGTAATTCCGAAGCATAAGTTTGTCCTTGTGAAGTTTGACACGCAATATCCTTATGGCGAGAAACAAGATGAGTTTAAAAAGCTGGCAGAGAGCTCAGGCTCTAGTGACGATCTTCTGGTGGCTGAAGTGGGGATATCAGGTGAGGAGCTCTGGACAGATTAGCATGCTCCGGAGGAGATAAATTTCACTCCAATTTCTGATGAGAACAGAGGTAATTCTGGTGGCGCGAAATAAGATGGGCTTGCCCCATCAGACGAAAGTGCCTGCCCTGGCTGCGTGCTGAGCTCTGTGCTGTGCCTCCCGCTGGCAGCGTGGGAGTGCTGCTTATCTCCTTTTGGCTGGGTAATGAAGCAAGTCAGCCCACACTGCTAAACGAGATGCCACCCTCCTCTGTTGTAGCACTTTTTGTCCTTTTCTTTCTTTCTTCACTGAGAGAAACCTTTTCAGCCATTTCCAGGGAAAAGATCTTACAAGAGTCCTTCTTTAGCCATAAGCCTGGTCCAACAAAGCCCACGTAATTATAGCCAACCCTGCTGTTACTGGTGGTGAAGCACGGAAAGCGCTCGTTGAGCTATGGCTGGTGTAACTTGATGTTCTTGTAATTGGCTTTGAAGAATGGATCACTGTCACCTTACTCGCTCTTGCTTTGTAGGAATTGTCAAACGGGGAAGTTTCACCCACGCTGACATCTGTAAACATACGTGGATTTAGCTAAGTAGCCTAGTTGAAATCTCTTTACGTTACATTTTCTGTCCTCAAGAATAAATGCAATTTCTGTAAGATGAGAAAACATCTTGTAGCTTGGCATGCTGTCAGAAATAGGACATATAAGTGTACATTCCCTCCACACAGATGAATAAAAAAATCCATTTAACTGCAAAATCAAAGCAGTGGATAGAGCAAAGGAAAAAAATAGATAGGAATTTCCCCTAAGGAGGATGGCGTTTGTATGTAGAGGTCCTGCCAATGTCTTACGTCATCACAGTCACAGCAAAGCATGATTAGAACCTTGTCTTTTTCTCTGGAAAACCTAATGATGGTTTGCCTTGCACTAATTATGTTCTGGGGTGGGTTTTTTTGGTGTATGGCATTTCCCGGCAGAGAGGTTATTAGGATGTGTTGAAACTCTGGAGACAAATATTTATCAGTTTGTGATTTTTTTTCTTTGGATTAACATACTGTGCCGTTCTGTGTTTTGTCTTCTCCTGACAGATTATGGTGATAAACTGAACACTGAGCTGGGAGAGAAGTACAAGCTGGATAAGGAAAAGTTTCCTTATTTTTACTTGTTCCAGGATGGTAACTTTGACAATCCCTTACCTTACAGCGGCCAAATCAAGGCCGGGGCTATTCAGCGCTGGCTGAAGAGTAACGGCATCTATCTGGGGATGCCAGGCTGCCTGAAAGAGTACGACATGCTGGCCAGCAAGTTTGTGAGCACCACTGAGAAATCAGAACGCCAGTCCCTCCTGAAAAAGGGGCAAGAGAGTTTACAAAAAACGAAAGAAACCGAGAAGAAGTCAGCTGAGCAATACTTGAAAATTATGAGCAAGATACTGGAGCAGGGCGAAGAGTTTGCTGCTAATGAAGTCGTCCGAATCACAAAATTGATTGAGAAGAACAAAATGAGTGACGGAAAAAAGGAAGAGCTCCAGAAAAGCCTCAATATCCTTGCTTCTTTCCTGAAGAAGAATAATGACAAAGATGAGCTCTAATATGTTGGAAAACTTTGTACAAGCTGTGAAACACTGTCAAGAGTCTAACCAGTTCTCCTTATGCAAGCAAACTTCCCGCTACCTTCAAGAGAGCAGCAGATTTCCTTCTGGTATTCTCAGTTTAGAAGATCAAGAGGAAGACGTTCCTTAAAAACATGGTATTCTAAATGTTGGGAAAATCACCTTAAAGCAAGACACCAGTATTGTGTAATACTATCCAATAACAGTGTTAAAATAGACCAAAAAGAAAAAAAAAAAGCACTAGATTGGCCTGAAGCACATTCCTGGTTGTTTTTACAGCTGTTGTCTGGCAAACAAATAACAAAATTCAGTCTCACATTCCATCTTAAATGTTCTAAAAGGTACAGATGTGGTGCCCCTCGCATCCCCACCTTGCCCCTGTCCTTAGCATCCTTAGGTTTTATGCTTGCTAGTCTCCCCCTCCTCCTGCCTTTTGTTTTCCCAATAGGGCTCCTTCTCCGAGTCTTGTTCTCCTTACCTGTTGTTGACTAGGAGATCTGGAGCTTCCTTTTTCTGCCTTCTCCTTCAGTAGCTCCTGTCTCTCTTCGGCTTGGCTGTCAGCCGCATGCTGACATAGTGAAGACAGGTCCTCCACGGATCAGAACTTGCCCCTCATCTTCTGGCTGGAGCAGCTGTCTCAGCAAACATTCTCCTGATATCATTTGTGGTACCCCGACAGAGCGAGTGATTGAGCAAAGGCAGAGTCTCCCCGAGGTGCTATTACACTTAATCTCACCAGTTTGTGCAAAAAATTGTTTTTTCAGAGGTGGCTTTGGGTGAGTTTTCTTAGGGCTGAAGAGCACACACAATGCCTATGCCAAGCTTCAGTTCCTGGGTTCGGAATAAGCGGGGGTGAGACCAGTGAGGACATCGGAAAGTCTCAAGCCATAGTTGACATGAATAAAATATTTTCTCCAGCCTCATCTTCAGAAGTGATTGACACTGTCAGACTAAAGCTTCAGCAGCATTTGGTAGTTTTAGTCATTTGAAAATGAGGTCTTGAAAGAGGAAGCAGAAGTCTTTGTGCTCTTAGAAGCCCCATTTATGTGATTGTAACAGATACCTGGCCCAGGGATCAGGTCAGTCTTCAAACCTTGATGCTGCGTGAGCTGTTGACGCTGTGAGGAGTTCAGATGGCCGCTGGAAGATGCCGTACTCCAGCGTTGCACAGAGCTGAAGAGAAACGCCTGCGTGTTTTACCTTAAGACTACGCTTTAAGCTCAGCAAAACTGATTTCTGTGGGAGCTTTGCTGCCTTTTGAATCCTGCGGTGGGTACAAGGAGCAGATATTGCTGCAAGATAAAGTGTATTAATGATGCTATAATTAAAAAAAAAAAAAAATTGGTTCCATTAATAGCTGCGTCTTAAACCGCTTTCTAGAGAAAGTGCTGCTGGTTTCTGCAGGTAGAGGGGCAAGTGATCAGCACAGATGAGGGGTCCGCTCAGGCCCGGCGCCATCTCC